CGTCCAAATTTGGTCATCAGTAAGTGGTTATGGCGAATTATGCGTGTGCTTTTAGCCAATCAGAATTGGAGAAATATTTTGAATGAATAATAAATGATAATTATAGCTTGATGATCCAGGCGTTCAGATTGTGGAGACTGCGCAAGGAGATGTGAGCAGGAAAAAAGCAAGGGGTGAGTTATAGGGAGTGAAAGCGTTCCCTTCTTTCTCTCTCTCCCTCTCTTCCTCCCTAATTCTTTTCTGCTCTCTGACTCTCTGACTTCGAGCCACACTCCACTATCTGAACGCCTTGAATAGGCTAAGCTAACCAACACGTGGGAATAAATTATGTTCTTACTGCCTGATTATGATGTGTAATAGAGAAAGAAAAATATAGCGATCAAAACTCCTTTGTAGGTAAGACTAATGGCTTTACGTGTAAAAATATTCATATACAAAACTACTTTCCTGTTTATAAACAAGAATTACTCCCACTTGTCTTGCATGGGACTTATAATCTCTGTGGCGTTCAAAGCAAGAAATTCAGCGTGAAAAGCTGGATGTAATGTTGCGAAAAGAGAAGAGCACGCTTAGAACGACGCGACTGCAAAGGAAAAAGGAATGTGGAGAACTCCCAGATAGGGCTGCAATACCAAACAATTTCAGTCAGATGAATCCGGATTATGATCCTATACAAGAAGAAATACACTAAAATATATTTCCGTGCCCTTTTTGTAGGTTTTGTCAGTGCTCAGTTAATGCAGGTCAGATTCCATCATATACATGAAACGAAACGTCTTTGACTGCTACCAAATTATATCGTGCTCCATTTCATTAAGCTTAAATGTATCTATTTACTCAAGTCGACATGAAAGCATGAAGCGTGATTCTCTCTCAACTACATGGATCAAAACAAACACAAGAACCAGCCAGATTCAAACATCTTCAGCTAGTTGGCGTGCTGACCTCGATTAATAAATTAGAAATCACTTTGCATCACTTAACTAATTGTTTCTCAAACTAGCCAAGCCGGCTTTTTACTTTTAGCTACGACTGCTTTTTTCGACAGAATTAAATTTCGCGTCTGAAACCCATTCCTCCGTGCTACGGTGGCGCAACAGACGTTTGAAAGTGACCTTTATACTTCTTTTTCTGTCAACCTCATTGATCTTACCAAAACAAAATTTTGGGGGGACTCTGGTCTCCCTAAGTCTAAAGACGCTACGTCAAAGACGTATGAGTCCCCTTTATACCAGGCGGTCCTCTCTCACGATTCTTGAACTGACAAGCCCGTGCTGGAGCCTTCATCCGCGGTGTCTGGGTACAAGCACAGTAGTGTACTCGCATTCGATTCATCCCTTCTATTAGTCAGTCCTTGGTAGATCAAGACCTTGAGCCGGTTACGACAAACGTCCGCATCTTAATTGAAACTAAGTATCTTGTTGTTGTGAAATAACCACTGCCCTGCAGTAATTACAATTCATGATCACTATTAATAGTATTAAATGTCAAGATTTCTACCTTTTGCTCATAATGCAGGCTGCATATACACCTAATTCAATAAAGGCTACTTTGGCAATTGGTCATTGAATTGGGAATTTGGGGATACGAACCTCACTGCAATGATTTGCTGGGAGGGACCACCTCAAACAATAGCTCCGTCCCACTGTGCGCCATTCCCCATAACTACAAGTAAAACAAGGTACCTTTATTACTGTGATATACATAAAAGTACAAGTACTTTTCGGCCGGGAAACACCAATCATAAAGTGTGCTATTCAGATCAGATGACATTGCCAAAGTTCTAATAAAGGTGGAACAGTGAATGGTTAAAATATTTCGACTTAATTTGGAACCTGCTTAGTGCACTATCGACTTATTCTAGATGAGGAGTTAACAATTATTCCACGAGGGTGCGTTGGATATGAGATGATAGATAGCCAACGAGGCCCGTAGCGCCGAGTTGGCTATAATCATCTCATATCCAACAAGCGCGAGTGGAATAATTGTTTTATTAAAAACGCCCACAAAATCTCGTTGAATCTCCCCGACTAGAACAAACCGGAAAAGACATGGGACTTCCGCTATTCACATGTCACACGTCTATCAAAACTGTCAACCCGCGAACGGACTCGCCTAGGCTGCATGAATGAAAAATCAAAACATTGTAGCGATGAACATTAGTTTTTTAAAAACTCATCGGGATTCTAGGATTTTACACAGCAGAACAGCTAATAAAAACCTGGCAGATATTGTGAAGGAAAAGAATTTTAAGTAACAGCCGTCGAAATTACTGTGAATTTGGATTTTCGGTGCAGTTATAAAAGTAAGAACAACTGAGAAAAACTATTACCTCGGTCGCTTGTTATGAAGTTGTTTGAAGCCACAAGCTGGTTTTGCTGAACGAGAAAAGAAGCTATACTGCCGCCTCGATTTTTCTAGTGAAATGGCTGCATAGCCTGTATTTGTAGCTGGTTACTTGTGATTCATATTCTTGATGTCGGATAAACAAGCCGCAGTTATCTATCGGCGAGTGACTCGATCGGCGCATGGCTTCGCGATCATGAAGAAATAACACTTGTCTTCTTTCGTAGCTGGTCAAGGTACTTTAATTACATGTATTTTCATGTGTTTTTCGACAAACTTTCAACAAGCTCTTGTGGCTTTCTTGTCTTTTTTCTTTCGATGAAATTGCATTTCTAGTATTCTAAGAAATGAATTAAAACGATTTGCTTTGGGCGCCGTTCTATCCTTCGCGAAAAAAAAACTCAGGCTAGCTTCCAATTTTAAACTGACGCGTACACTGACCATATATGGAGAGCATGGTATAATAGCTCATATACCATAACCGCTAAGCCAATCAAAATGCTAGAATTGTATTATCCAATGATTCAGTTTTTAATAATAGCATATATACATGTACTATCGTAGCAACACTATTCTAAGGACTTGACATTATTTAAAAAAATTCAGTATACTTTAAAAGAAGCATAGATTAACACGTTCTTTTTATATCTGTCATTTCTACATTAACAGTTTGTGTTGCTGCTGATTCTTGATCAGGCTCAAGTTGTATCTCTTCAAAAATGCAGTTACAAGCGGACAAACATTTTAGTGGGAGGTTCTTCAAGGGTTTGGTCACAATTCGTACCAAACACGAAAGCTGTTTCACTCTTGATGCACATTTACAAGTACAAAATAGAGCTGGACAAAGAGTCCGTAAGGCTTGATTATAATTTGTGCTAAATACAAAAAGGATGACGGGGTTAACTGCTGTACTCAAAGATGGAAAGACATAGAAAGAAAAACCAGCGAGAAATAAACAATTGTCCTTCAAGAACAAAGATGGGTGTAGTTTTTTGAGAATCAAATAAACACAAAGAGGAGTCCAACAAATAAAAAATGCAAACACGATTGATATCAAGATCTTCACAATTCTGTGGTTCTGTTTGCGTCGTTTCGCGTCTTCATGACCTTTCAGCAAGTTTGGCGTCTTTTTTAAGGCTCTAATAATCATAACGTACAACGCTATAATCGTGACAAGAGGAAAAACATATAACAGGACTATACCAAAGCTATTGAAAATTGTCATAGACTCGTCGCTCATGATAAATCTGCAAAACGTTTGGTCGACTATTTTGATTATTTTGGCAAAAAGAACGTAAGGCATTGCCAAAAAAATAGGTATTATCCAAGATAGAGCCAGAAAGAGCGCCCGAATTCTTACATTCATTATCATCATTGCTTTAAAAGGATAAACTGTCGCAACAAATCTGTCCAAGGCAATTAACACAAGGCTCAGGACGGACACGGCAAGTGAAACCGCTCTAAGGTACATTCCCAGTTTGCAAAACGCAGAAGCTAAAGACCCACTGATAAAGACGTTGTGTGCCAACATTCCATCACTGCTGTAGAGCGGCCAACTAAAAAACGGTCCGAGGAAGTCAGAGACAGCCATGTTAACGATGTAGTAATTGGTGCTTGTCCGTAGGCTGGGAGTCTTTATGAAGGCTATGACAATAAGCATATTACCCACAAACGTCACTATACTTATCGCAGCCAGAATCGATGTAAACGTTGTAGAAACCACTGGAGAACAACCGGCTGATGAAGAGTTCGCAGCAGTAAGAAGCAACGTGGGATTGTTCATCTCCGGCTCTGGTTCAGAAAACCGATATAAATTCCCAAAGTTCAAATCTTTTTGCTCTTTGCTGTGAAAATTTAAAATGATGAGAACCAAGATTAAAATACAGTAATTAAAAGTGGATTTTGGATCACGAAGAGTCAAGGGCTAACTGGGAACTGATATGCTTTATAACATAACAGGGTCTCAAGTGTTCAATTTTGTAATTTAAAAAAAAAATAATAGTCAGGGCGCAGAATGTCATTCGTCGTCGTTAGACGTTCCTAAAGCAGGAGCGGACCACTGTAATAGTTGCAAATTTTTCAATATATTAGGTCTAACTACAAGGTTTATCGATTGGTGATTCCTTTTAACTTGTTAAAAACCGCCGCCTGGTTAGCTCAGTTGGGAGAGCGACGGTCTGCTGAGCGGGAGGTCGCGGGTTCAAACCCCGGCCGGACCAACACTTAGGGTCTTTAAACAACTGAGAAGAAAGTGCTGCCTTTGTAATGACATCTGCAAATGGTTAGACTTTCTAGTCTTCTTGGATAACAACGAAAAACCATAGGTCCCGTCTCACAGCACTTTCACTGATCTGTTCTTGTGGGACGTAAAAGAACCCACACTACTGTTCGAAAAGAGTAGAGGACGTAGACCCCGGTGGTGTGGCCATCCCTACCCAATCCCACAACCCGTTAAGGTTGGCACCTTGCATGGGACCTGTGAGTCCCGTTCGTGCCTATTCCCTCTGGGCAGGCCTGTGTCCAGAAAAGCTTGTAAAACTAAAACTAAAACTTAAAGATGTTAAACTATACGAATAAAAAGAGAAAGAAAGAGTAGAAAAGTAGTCATGTTAAAGTGCAAAATCATCGCAAAAGATTATTTCAATACAAATCTACCAACTTTAAAGCGCTGATAGAAAGCATTGGTTTCTTTTCTGTTATTAAACAATCTATAGTAGCCTAGTTTGGTATTCTGTTTAGTCATGCCACACCGCTGGAAGACAACCGAAACATCATTGAACAATTATTTCGTTCATCTTCCTGTATTTGACGCCATCCGTTATCAATACTAATTAAACTGATATCTATCGATCATGGCCATGACGATTTGTGTTACAATTTATATTGTCATTTAACTTAATTCACAGCTCGCTTTTTAATTCACTGACGTCAAAGATTAACTGTCATAAAGAAAAAGCTTAACAAGAAGTTGACGTGAAAGGACGTCCGGTAATATATGACTCTCGGGGGTTTTTTATTCCACACTTTTAGGAGCCACTTCCGACTTCCGTGTCAAACAGTAATTATTTCTTTAGAGCTACAAGAACGTGCGATCTGAACACACCTCTGACTGTTGTTTCGTCTCCAGTATAACTGGTCAAGGCAAGTACAGATCGAAGGCAGCACGGATGGACAACTTGACTGATTGAAACGGGTTGCAATTGTGGTTTCTTAAAACTTGGCAAATATCCTACAGTTTTTTCAAAGTTCATTCAGTTCTTGCTTCTAACGTTTAATTATGGTATGATATAATAATTCGGGAAATATTTGTTTAACACGAAGCTGAGGTTTTGTTATCAGAAGTAATTTCTGAAGTTCCATAGCGCTTAGGACGAGAAATTATCATTACTAACAAAATGAACTAGAAAACAGTGACACAGTCCCTTCTGTTGCGTTTATATAGCCTCTGCGGTTTGGAAACGTTCGTCATTAATTTTTTAGGTGTGGCACTCGCAAGCTAGTAGTTTGCTAATTCCAAAGACAAACAAACAGGCTTGTCGCAGGCCATGCGCTGAGGTTTAAACCGAAATTATAGTAGTTTATTTACTTGCTCAATTTATAGGACATAAAACGAATAATGGTGACAGCAAAACTGTTTCTGCCAGGAATAGAAGTAGCCTCCCCGCAGACGTCCGTTGGGGTTCGGTTGTCATGCGTGACAACCGAACCCCAACGGACGTCTGCGGGGAGGCTAGAATAGAAGAGGCTGAGTCTTGTTATCCAATGACATAGGTGATTTGAACAAATTTAATTTTCTACAGTACGCTGGAATAAAAATAGCTGAGACTTTAGTTAGTAGTTAGTTTTAGTAGTTGTTTAGTAATTTAATACTCATAAAGGGTCGTTTCCAAAGCTCAATGTGTCATCAGTCTGGTAGGTCGATTCACGTCACCTAAAGTTCCCTGAGGCTTTGATATAAGATACTATCGAACCGACAGTTTTACAAATTTTAACTGTTTTTCCTTAACAGGTTTAAATCCGCAAAATACGCCACTTTTTCATTTCTCCTGGGTACTACAGCCGTCCCAAGAGAAATTGAAAAAAAAACTTATTCAAAATTTGGCGGGGGGGGGGGCAAATAAGGTGCATTGTGGGAGATGTGTACGCGGCGTGTGGAAAGCTTGATTTTCGGTGTCTAAATATTTTCCCACAAAATCTTAAAGCGGAGCTACTTGATTTCCACTAGTATGCGGGTCTTTTCCTCTCCTATATCTAGTTACCGAAGTGAATGTACACATCTATAAGACTAAACTTCCGACTGCGACTAAAACTGAACGGCTGTAGATTTATATATTGTCTGTTTTCACGTCAAACGCAAAGCACTTAAAAGTAAGTTAGATAAGATTTCATGTACAACGTTTTTGTACCCACCTGCTTTCAACTTATCAAGTATTTTTTCTTCAGGCTTGGAAACTGCAAGTTTATCAGCAACTGACAGCACCGACAAAGGATATCTAACAATTTTGTTATTCACAAGACTTTGCTCTTCTACTACTCATGCCCTGGTATTAAAAAATCTTCTTTTCTGATTTCTTCCTGTACCATAGCACCGTGCGGCATTAATGACGCAGCATTAAGTATCCGATTATCCGCCCAGTGACACTATGATTGGACAAAAACAAGCACTTTATTTCCCCAATGGTAGTACAATGAACATGATGAAAGTGGCAGTTTATGACTGACATGTTGTTATCTTTTGAATTTTCATCGAATTGAAACATGTTGATAAATGAACATTTTACCTCGAGGCAAAGTAATGTTTAAGAAAGAAAAACTAATTCTCGAGATGGCTCAATTTCCAGACAAAGTGATTGGAATAAAAGATATCAGAGCCCTGATTTCACCAAAACTAAGAAAAGACTCGCGATCGAGTTGAAGATGAAGAGCCTTAAGAGAGTATTGACGCCGCGGTCATAAATGCGGCGTGATGTAATATAATGGATATTTAACTATTTCCCGATAAGAAGGAAATAAATATCACCGAATATCAGCTATTCAATGGTTTTTCATATCCGGTCACAAATCATAGTACTTATATATTCGCCACGCTATATAATCAGGTTCAAATAACAGCAAAATGCAAAACGCGATGGTGGATACCAGCAACAACAGCTTGAAGGTTACAATAACTATCAACCTTAAACTAAATCATTTGGTGAAAACTGTAAAGGATTACTAAAGGATGCTAAAGAGTGGTGGAGATCACATGCAATTTTAAGTTAAATGGGAATTTGTGTATGTTACCATGAAGTATCCCCTTTAATCGATCAGTGTGTAGTTGAGCTGTGCTCCCCGGCGATTAGTATGTATAATAGGACTACATGTTGTCCAATTTACGGCCTCGTCCAATTTGGCTGTCAGAGGAATTTTTTGAACTCAATTATTTCCAAAATGGACAAGCATGTAGTCCTCTTACTTATTAATTATATAGCTGTTTACTATAGTTAATCCAGATTTTCTAACGTGTCGCAGAAGCGAAATATTGTACACTCGAAACACACTGCAAAAAACACACTGCAAGATCTAAAAAAGGTTTATTGTTATGGTGTCATTCAACTTCTTCTCTACAAATAAACCGTGAACGTAGAACTAGTATTGCTCTTTCATGACTTTGGCATTTTGTTGCCAATTAAAATTTTGAAAGCTCCTTCAATAATCTGAATGATATGGTGCTACAGGTGAAAACCGCAAATTCGAGCACAAAGAAGACAAAGCAGCGACGCAAATACTTAATTTAAATACAAAAACTATTGAAAATAAACATTTCGTTCATTCCTCAAACGATTTCCGCAGACTTTACGTTCCGTTTGTTTTTGTAATGCCATGATCTAAACTCAAGTATCAGTGTTTTCTTATTCTTGTCTAAAGTTTCAGTGCTTGTACATTTTCAAGAATCTATGCGTTGATTGTCTCCGATACTGAACTTTCATCAGTTTGGTCATACATTTTCCTTTTAAATGGCCCAGACAAGAAGCCAAAACAAAACAGCAGCAAAACAAAACGACGTTCACAGCAACAAGAAGCCAAAAGTGTTCGCCAACGAACCGTCGTCAGACAACGAAACTTTTTTTGGCGCGTTATCACAGGGACTTTGCGCTGATTGGCCAGTTTGCACTGCCTATTATATTTTCTGGCATTTGATTGGCTCAGACCAGCTGTCCTATTTTTCTTAAATTGGACATTTTGCCTATTTGTAAAGGAAAGCCGTATCTAGAACTATCCAAATTAATCCTTAATTGGACAGTTCGTGAAAATTAAAGGATAATAGCTTTGCTGACAAGGTCGGATTAACTAACAGCTATATAATTATGGTTAGTAATAAGAACATTGTTATAGCTACATTTTCTCCTAAGTACTTTGAGGTGAAATGACATCTAACAATATATCCATCTTGCCCGGCGCCAAACGTCCCCGATCGGGCCTGGGAACACAGATTCTTTAACGTCAGACTGTGCAGTACAGTGCTGTTTTCTGCGAGGTTTGATCACCATCTTTAATGACAACTTCCCTGGATACCAGAGACTTTTCATTCGCGGTTTCCCGTTTCTGTCAACTCGCCGCTCGTGGCTACTGCCATCGGCCGAAGGTAAGATCGATCAGCCTGCGGCCGACCCAAGAGCATCCTGCCATACGAGAGGAAAAAAAACCTTTTGGTACTGTTTCGCGCCGTTTGCACTCGAGATGGACTGAAACTGACTCGATCTAGATCTTGATCTTCATAGTAAGCACATCTAGCTCAAGCTCAATATGAGAGTTAAATCATTAATACGTGTGGTCTCATACTGCGTAATCATCAAATGGCCGTGAACATAAAGGATTTATATGGACAAATTCAAGAAGATAAATAATCGCTGGAATTTTCAATTAAAAAACCGTTTTTTCCCAATTACTTGCCATGGTTTGTTCTTGCTTACTGTGTGGCTATTTTCCCGATCGGCTGCGATTTAAGCGATTTCCTTTACCCCCAAGTTTTGTATTGAAAACTTCAGCGATTATTTATCTAGTCTTGAATCTATCTGATGAATTCTCATGAATACAAATCCTTTATGTTCACGGCCATTTGAGGATTACGCAATAGGAGACCACACGTATTAATGATTTCGAGACGTAACTAATGGATTAGTCACTGATTATTCGCTGCAATCGATGGGTAATCGATCGGCAAAAATTTTGTGGCCTATCGATTACTCATTGATGTCATCGATGAGTAATTGATGCGTTCGATTGCTCATCGATTATCTAATGATTATCCATCGATTAGTCATTGATTACACATCTCATACAATTTTTGGCAATATTTTTTTCTTAACTTGTTTCAGGTCATAAAAAGCGCGGAATTGAACTTGCATGAAGAAAACCAATTTATATAGGCCATGACGAAAACAGAACGGCAAATCAAATTTTAACCTGCGATCAGGCGTTTTTATTTATTTTAATATATAGATTTAACCAGAGCTAAAAGCGAAGCTCTCGATTATATTTAAAGTTTTTTCAAACAATACATGGATATAGAATAGTGTTACGCTAAAGGTGATGTTACACGGGACGATTCGAAACGACGATTTTTAGCGCAACATAGCGTTGCAATGTTGGAACAATGTTTTAATTATTCGAAACAATGTCGGAACAATGTTGCAACCCTGTGTTAAGCTTAAAATCGTCGTTGTCATTTTAAGCGGCGAAGGCAACGCCGGAGAACGATGAAAAACAACAATAGGTCTAATTAGCAAAAAAGCAACTTTGCACGTGCAGCACACTTTTTTTGTTCATTTCTTTGCCTTTGTTTAGCACGACTACAAAGTGAAACTTCCAGAAACTTCTTAGACGTTACACCTTGCTTGGAGGAAATGTCCACTTTTTTTTTCACTGCCACTCATTTTCATCTTCGGTTGGTGGCCGCTAGCATTTCTTATTTTATCACCGCCGCTATAAAATTTTAATGTTGTCCTTCCGACAAAAAAATGTCTCCTTTCTTTTTTTATCTTTCGCCCTAGATCTCTGTCGCCCTTTTTCTCGTTGAGCTTCGCTGGCCTGCCACCTACTTTCCCTTTTTCTCTGTCTTTCTCTTGCTCTATATTCCAAATTTGTGGACATGACAATTAATCTAAGCTTAATACTTTAGACAACACAGATACAGAAACAATTTCCGCTTTCCGTTTTCGGCTTTATTGAGCTTTAGTTGTCTCTGCTTTACAAGACGCGGGTGGCTATGCGATTTCCCGCCAAAATAATCTCGAGTTGCATTTGGGTTGCAAAAACTGTTGATTGAGTTATTTTACATTGGCATACCTGTGGTGCGGAAGGACGGGGGGTAATTGCTTGAAGAAGGCCTTCATTGCAGTATATGTATATGTTATCTCAGGTAATTTTTATTTTTCTTTTGTTTTTGGGTATGGTAATGTATGCTAATGAAGTTGAAACAAAAGAAAAATAAAAATTACCTGAGATAAAAAATTAACTACAACATAAACACAATACTCGCTGAATAAAAAATCTCTTAATTTTGTCAGTTGGCTCAAATCACAATGTTTTCACCATCTTTACCCGAGCAAACATTTTGATCCTCAAAAACAAAAATTTCTTTGGGATTAGCCACTGCACTTTGGTTTCTCTTTAAAACCTGCCTAAAACAGCAATATCATCGTCAAATAGTGCCGTTAAGCTAATACCTCATCTTGCAGGTATCATCGCGTCACGCTTTCAAGAAGAGGTAGTGGATATCACTGAGTAGTTATTAGTGACGAACGTTAACTAATGTAACCAACAATGCTTACCAGAATAAGCAGAGTTTCCTTTAATAGCCACTATATGTCGAGTCCTTGTATAAATGCTGAACATTATTTGAGTCAAATGAGACGACATACTGAAATAAATGTGGAGGTTAACCGTCAACCGCCCTAAGTTACCTTTAAACTGAGTTAATACTAGAAAAAAGTGTCGTCTAACAGTTATTAAAATGTATACTTTAAGAGACAAAATCACGGACAGTGCGGTTTAATTTCTGTCAGTTCTACTTTTACATTTTCTGTTGTCAATAATTCAGGCTGCCCAAGTTGCTTCTCTTCACTTTCACGTTTACAAACAGAAAAATGGAATGAGCAAAGAACCTTCAAAGCTCGATTATAATTTGTACTAAGCACGAAAAGAATAATGGGATTAACCGCAGTACTTAAAGAAGGGAAGACATAAAAAGTAAAACCTAGGATATAAAAACATTTGTCCTCTGTGAAAAGAGATGGGTATAACTTTTTCAGCAAAAAATATACAGTTAATGGAGTCCAGCAAATAAAAAATGCAAACACGATTGATATCAGGATCTTTACAATTCTCAGGTTCTGCTGGCGTCGTTTTGCGTCTTCTTTTCCTTTCAGTAAGTTTGGAGTCTTTCTTAAGGATCTAAAAATGACCGAGTAAAAAGCTATTATCGCGATAAGGGGACATGCGTATGACAGAACTATTCCGACGCTATTAAAAATTGTCAAAGCCTCGTCGCTCATCATAAATCTGCAAAATGTTTGGTCACCTTCTTTGATAATTTTTGCAAAAAGAGCGTAAGGCAAAACAAAAAAGAAAGGTATCAACCAAGATAGTAACAAAAAAATCACCCGTATTTTTGTATTCATTATCGTCATAGCTTTTAAAGGGAAAACAATGGCTACAAATCTGTCCAAGGCAATCAACACAAGGCTTAGAATAGAGACAATCTGTGACACCGCTCTGAGGTACATTCCTAGTTTGCAAACACTTGAAGCCAGAGTGCCACTTATATAGACAGTTGACGTCAACATTCCTTCGCTGACGTACAACAGCCAATTGAACAACGGTCCGAGGAGGTCGGAGAAAGCCATGTTCACGATGTAGTAGTTTGTGCTGGTCCGCAAGCTGGGGGTCTTCACAACAGTTGCAACAACCAAGATATTGCCGACAAGCGCTGCCATGCTTATAAGAGATAGAGTTGATGTAAACATTATTGACGCCATGGCGGAGCATCCTTGCAATGGGGAGTTAATAAACCAAACTTCTGTAGAATTATTCATTCGGGTACTTGCTTGAGACTGCGACAGACTGTTAAGGTACTGTAGATAATCTGGAATTTTAAGAGGAAAAATTAAGATAGACCATAAGTCTAATGACTCGTACATCCTCAAATTAGCGCCTTGAACTTCAATTATACTCAGCCCAAAGGTTTGCAAACTGCGAACCCTCATAATGTGCGCATGACCCATTTTCCTGAAATAGAACTCGGCCGATCGACTGGCATAATGTGCATGCTATTTAGAGCAAGAGAGGATAAAGGGGACAGCGAAAGCATCCCCATACACACCCTATTCAATAGGTAATTCGTCTCGAGTTATTTTTACGACACACAGATCCCAAGGTGGATTAGACAACAGCCAATCACATAGCGTAAATGTGTTCCGCGTGGATGACCCACGCTCAGAGGCACGCGTCGTTCACGAATTGACGCAGAAAAAAATGGCGGAAGACTCGGAGAGTGATATTTCTATTCGTCTCGTCGACGAAAACGACTAACGAGAGATTTCTGCGAAAGCGGTGTCAGCGAAATAGAATTTAAAAAGGATCGCCCTTCCTCTCTTGTATAGAGCTAACAGTACAGCATATTCAACAAAAATAACACTTGGCGTCCTACTTGCTTTATTGTACAAACGACCGGTTTCAATAGACCGGCGAAATTTCTCATTTTATTGAAGCACTGAGATTACGACAACTTCGAGTTAAACTGATTTCACGGGTTGTCAAAGAGTTCAGCGATAGTCTTTTCCCAGGTGAGCGCCGACTCATTTCGCTTCAATATTGAGAAATGCTCTCGATCTCTTTACGTTTTCATTGCCTTTCGCCCGACATGTTTTGCACGGCGTTTAGTCATGCGAATCCTCCACGAAACATCCACGCAGCGCGTGAGGTATCTTTATCCCGATTCTAAAAATAACTCGAGACGAATTACCTATGGAATAGGGTGTGTATGGGGGAAGCTTTCTCTGTTCCCGTTATCCTCTCTTGAGGTTACTTCATCACTCCAGTAATCTATTGAAACGCAGCAAGATTTATTATGAATTAAGATGGTCAATTTATCAATTCAGTTAAGGGAAAAAAAATGTTCGTTCATAGTAGTACTTTAATTCGTTCCGGTAGTACTTTAGTCCAACATTCCTATGTCCTACAGTGACTAAGCAATGTTTTTGCCGACTTTTTAGGTGCAATATTGCTTCACCTTTTCAAGGCTTTGGGTAAAAGGAAGTCTTTTCGAAAATCATGGACCAAAGCTTATTCCCAAAATGTGACTTCTATCATGTCGGAGACTTCACGGTGAACTTCATGTGTACGCATACACTTTCGCTAAATTTGAGGGTAACCTTATACTTTACCTCGGTCGACTGTCCATTTTTTCAATAATGAATTGAAAATGTGAGGTACATAATTTATTAACAGTAATTAATAATATTTGTTGCGTGCGTTTTCTTTCGAAGGCTCTTCTTTGGTAAAATATTCCCTTGGTGGCTAAAAGCACAGGTATGAAAGGAAGTCTTCTCGAGAATCACTCAACTGCATGTCTCCACACCTTTTAGCTGCCGACAGCTTTTAACTCCCGCTCATCAAAAGTGTTTAAAAAACTTAACTTATTAACAAAGAAAGTTTTACTTTGTCAAATAAGTTAAACCAAAAGTGCCGTCCCAAAAAAAAAACTAAATTATGTCAACTAAGTTATAACAAGAAAGCGGTATCAATTTATTCATAGTCACGGATAATGTTGATGCCAAAACATTTTGTCATCAAAAGAAGAAACCTTGAAAATTTGCATAGGAAGCCAATCTAATACTCGTTATTTAACAGTGATCATAAGACTAGTAGCTTGAGTTATAATGTTCAGCATGTAAGAAAATATCGTTTCTTTGTCAACCCATGCAACGTTTAAGCCGTTAGAAATTATATGGGGCTACACCGCAACGAGTTTCTCATTTCCTAGTTCTGGGTTTACAAAAATATTCAGTATTGCTTTGTAGGAACCCGATATTTGTTGTTTAACACTAGCAAAAGTTATAACCAAGCCACCTTTGCTGAAAACATCGATCCATCCAATTAAACTTCACTGATAAGACTGTAGGAAACTGGCCAGTTTCTGAAATCTCTAAACTAGCCAGTGCTGCACGTCATTTGTTTAGTCGCAAATTAAAGGTTAACTTACCTGAAATCAAAAGAGAACCCAGCTTCTTCCTGTAAAGCGTGTTCTTCGATGACTTCCTTCGAAGTAGTTAATGAAATGCTACTTTTATACAATGCAAAAGCAAGCAATGAGACCCGCGCCGCATCATGATCAATATGAATATCTAGTTACTTTGTCTTCCTGTTTTAATCTGTATTCAACCTGGCTTCACACCTCATTGATTGCCAGTTACATTGTTTGACTAAATAAAAGCCTTGGACAGAGTGTCAAAAGCAAAGTCTTTTATATAGCGGTTCCGCCTTTTGGAATTCTCAGCTTCAGGGTTCTATGGAATGTAACATTACTCTCTAGGTGTTTGGGAAAAAAAGCTTAAAACTTACTATAATTCTTCTTTATGAGGAACCCACACGGCAATCTTACTTTTCACTGATGTTTTTTCGTGTGTAAATAAATAAATAATAATAAATAAAATAAACAATGACGTAAACAATGTTTCCTTCTTGCGGGCGACAGTTACATTTTAAGTAATAATTCTTCAATAGAAGCGTTAGACAGGGAATAATTTTCAAGGAAGTGACGACACGTATATATACCCGTAAATATATAATAGTTGACACTACAGCTGTCCCCGCTCTGTATATTGTCGGTCAATAGTATGCTTGGTCGTTGTGTAGCTCTTTGAAATATACCGATTCATAATGAAAATTTTCACACGTATTCCGATACACTAGGTGAAAGTAAAAACAGGAAACAAAAGGTTCCTATGCACTGTTTCAGTTCGTTTACACAGCTTTGATAGGAAAACATTCTCAGTTTTGGGAATAGTTTATTCTAAACCATAAAAAAAGATTTAATTGGAAGGTGAAATTTTTCGCTAGTATTTCTTATTTTCTTTTTACAAACAGCTCATTTTATTTACCGGAAAGTAAGCCTTAGAAATGAAAAGGTTTGATCAATTCACGCTCGCGCGTCCTATAGTCATTTTTAAAACTATATCTCCTGGAGGACATCAGTGGGCAGGGAATAAGTCAGCACAGAATATTTGATGGTCCTCGAATTTCTGTAATCGTCTTTCGTTCTGCTTTTGATAATCTAGCCGTTGATTCACCCGTCTTGCTTGATTGGGACTGAGTCTTATTCCCCTAAAGAGATCGAGAAAGAGTGTGTGGCAAATTGTTTCCAACTAGAATCAAGAAGATTTGTGAATTCGTGTCTGGCAAACTCTCCAAGTGTCTATATACAGCTATTTCGAGAAAGGTTGTCGAAAAAAGTGGGCCCGACAATCCCGAAAGACATTGTGGGTGGTTTTAAGTTCACCGTTCTTTAAAGAAATTTGAAGGAATTGGTACGAAAGGCCGTGGAAATGTGTTTGCGAGTGCTAAAGGAAAGCAACTAAAGTAGATTCGACAGGTACAGTCGTCAGAAACAGTGTATTGCTCATATCCCATATTTCCTTTCGGGGTTGTCGCGTGCACATTTTTCCGACAACCTTTCTCGAAATAGCTGTATACACAGTTATAAAAACCTTATAACTTCATCTGCTCCACAGAATGTCACTGATATAACACGTAACGCTGAAAGAGTATCTTAGTATGACCGTACAATAAATGTCACAAAATCTACAACCTGTGCGGTCCCTTCGGGATTTTCTGTTTACGTCATCCTAACCATCTCTTTCTTGCGGGCCCGAACAATAGAAAACGTCATCAATACCTACCGATTCCTCGCCGTCCATGTTCAAGAAAATCGAGATTTTTTCTGACTATACATTTCAACTGTAAGTACTTTCCTTAATATATACGCGCGCGTTACTAAAGTGCCTCCTCGGGATTTCGCGTTCTGGAGCAAAATTGTTCCTGAGCTGATGAAACGTCAATCATATACAGCATATATTAAGTAACAGAACCCACCCCCAGCGGGCGTGATATAAATGCAAGAAGGATACAGTAGGGTGAAAAATATATTGCTAATTATAGCCTGATCCAGGCGTTCAGATTGTGGGAACGGCGCAAAGAGAATTGAGTAGGAAAAAAGCGTGGTGTGGGATAGGGATTGGAAGCGTGAATCCCTTGTAGCTTTTCTGGGGACGCTTTTGCTTGATTCTCAAAGACAGAGGTGTTACTTTGCGGGCCATAAATCGATGGAGAAAACGAGGATCTGTAATTCACATGTACAGTACAACAATACGTAACGTCATCTGTCATCATATAAGCTAATTAAATTGATACAAAGCAAAATCAATCGATCATCACCGTGACAAGTAATTCCTCAAGTTACTCTGATATTAGCGAATAAGGAAGGTGGCGTAATTGGCAAGAATAAAATTAGCTACACAGCCGTGACAGAACCCCTCCCAATTGCATAAAAGTGCTATAATCTCTGCGGTTTGGAAACGTTCGTAATTCATTTTTAAGGTGTGGCACTCACAAGCAAGTGGCTTGCTCCAGCACTTCAGATCATAGAGTTGTCAAATCTGTCTTTGAAGAAGACATTTCAATGCAAAAATAACTCAAACAGGCCTGTCGCTAAAATCATGCAGCTTTAAGCCGAAATAGTTAGTTTAAAGAACTTCCTGAATTTATAAGACAAAGAAAAAACGGTGAATGGAAAACGGTTTTTGTCTGTAATAGAAGATGCTGAGTCTTGTTATTCAATGAGTAGTCTATTTGTACAGATTTAAAATCAAATAAGGACTTTAAGAAGCCACGATGGCGACGGCGACGACAACGAGAATCTCAAAAAAGCAAAAGGTTAAATAAGCAAACAAAAACTCTACACGGCATCACGACCACAACGGGAAAATGTCTAATTTCACGTTTTATGGAGGACGTAAACAAGCAACGACTAAAGTTTCTTTCTCCTTCTGAACTTGAATATGGTTCTGAGGAATTCGGCTCAAAGAGCGTTCGCTTGCATTTGACAAAATAAACGAGTTGGAGTAATCGCGATAGAGATTCAAAGAACGCTAAGATAATTTTAAGGGACCTTTTCGTGGCCGTTGCCGTCGTGGTATCTTATTACGGACCTTAAGTTAGGGTGGAC